TGAGCACGTGAGAAGTTCGTTGTGAATAGCGTTTGTTATAGAGCCACTGTTGAAATTAAGTGTATCGCAAAGTTGTTTTCAGAAAGAATAAACCAGTTTTATTTAAGAAAGGACTTATATCGGTAAAATAAAAAAAAAGAAGAAAAAGATGGAAACGAGAGGCGGCAAATCAAACTACAGCTTAACATATTTGATGGCAGCAATACAAAAAACAGCAAAAGAAACAAGAAGAACGAGAAGGGAAACAAGACGAGAAATTACAGCAGTTCTTGGAGGAAAACGAAAAAAAACAAGAAGAACGAGAAGGGAAACAAGACGAGAAATTACAGCAGTTCTTGGAGGAAAACGAAAAAAAAACAAGAAGAACGAGAAGGGAAACAAGACGAGAAATTACAGCAGTTCTTGGAGGAAAACGAAAAGAAACAAGAAGAACGAGAAAAGAAATTACAGCAGTGGTTGGAGGAAAAGAAAAGAAACAAGAAAAAAAAGAAGAACGAGAAAAGAAACAAGAAGATGTATTACAGCATTTGCGAGAAAACCTGCAACAGTGGCAGATGGAACAGCAAAATAAATAAGAAGAGATATTACAGCAGTTGTTGGAGGAAAAAGAAAAGAAACAAGAAGAGAGATTACAGCAGTAGCAACTAGAACAAGAAAGGAAACAGGAAGAAAGTCTCCAACATTTGCAGGAAAGTCAGCAGCAACTACAGGAAAGTCAACAACAGTGGCAAGAAGTACAAATGGAAAACATTAGTAAATTAAAAAGCGAATCAGATACATTAAAGGACGATTTATTGTCTTTTACACAAGGAGAATACATTAACCATCGACTTAATCAGCCCCAGACAACGGCAAGCCCCTTCCAGACCCTGCAGATAAACCCTAATGCAGATATATTCAGTCCTGTTAGAAGTCACATCCCAGATATGAATGTCAGTAATAAGATTGATCCAGTACGAAGGAACCCACAGGAATTCGATGGGAAAGCACCGTGTGAAGCATATAAAGAACAACTTGAGCTACTGGCAGAGATGAACGGATGGACAGAGGAGCAGAAAGCTGTATATCTGGCAACAAGCTTGAAGGGACAACCACTGGATATACTTGGACAGTTGTAAGCAGATGACAGGCACAACTATAGAGCACTGGTAGTGGCTCTAGAACTCAGGTACGGAACCCCAAATCAGTCAGAAGTCTACAGGGCTAGGTTCAGAACGAGAGTCCGTGCTAAAGGGGAGAGCCTGCAAGAGCTTGCACAGGACTTGGAAAGCATTGCACACAAGGCCTACCCAACTGCACCACCCGATCTCCTCAAGTTGTTGCTGAGGGATTAGTTCATAGATGCCTTGGACAGTATACAACTTAAGATACAAGTGAAGCAAGCACACCCCTCTACCATGCAGGATGCAATGGCCAGAGCTCTCGAATTTGAATCCTACGTTAAGTCCAACACAGAGGTACCAAGGTTAGTACAGTCATCTGGATTCAAGGCCCGAAAAGGTCAGCTTTCAGGGAAGTTTGAGGGACTTTGCTGGCACTGTAACAAAAATGGGCACAAGAGAGCTCAATGCTGGAAACTTCAACACAGGGGAGATGATACAGCAAGAAAGGCTGCTACCCAGAAAGGCTGTTGGAACTTTGGGGAGCAAGGACATCTGAGGAGCCAGTGTAAGAAAAATACCACCAATAAGTCAGCTTCGGGAAACCAGTAGTGGTTGGTGCTGAGGAACGCCCACCAACCTCCATCGTGAAAGTCCCAACAGCTAAATGTAAAATGACAAGTACACATAGTATCTATGTGACAGGGAAGATGGATGGCCAAAGGTGCAATTTTGTCATAGATTCTGCATCTCAGCAAACTCTTGTGAGCATCAAGGTGCTGGATAACATAGGAGCACCAGAAACTGTACAGAAGCTTTATGGTTTGACAGGACATTCTACAAGATTGTGGGGACCAGTGTGGGTAACTATTGAGCTCATGGGCATAAAGAACAAACAGAAAGTATACTTGGCTGACATTGAAGACGAATGCATATTAGGATTGGACTATCTACTACCGAGGAAGTTTGTAATTCATTTTGATAAAAT